TCCAGGTAGATGTGATCAGGAAATGGGCTTCCCTTTTCACTCTTCTTCCTGAGAAGTTTCAAGATACCATTGTTGGTTGTTTTGACGTAACTTAGGATTTCATTTTCGCTTATTTCCTTTTTTGTCTGCTTGTCCCACTCCGCAATCCCCATTCAGGACTTGTTTCTAGTTGTAAACAGTTCAGGGCTGGCTGTAGCCGTTTGGTTTTAATTGGACACTGTCTCTTTAAATTTCTAGAAGATCTGTGCAGATGCGTAGTGGAACCCTCTGAGGGTGGGGCTGGGGTGCCCACTAGCTCAGGCACCCTATAATCACCAGAATGGAGGTGCGCAGACAGCAAGGGACCAATGAATAGATATTAAAAGAAAAGAATGTCCACACCTTTATTTCAGCGGTTCTGCCAGGTGTCTGTGGCTGCTCTGATCCTTCCCCCACGTGGTTTCACCCAAGATGGCGGCTCCTGGAGCAGCTGAGCGTCCTGGACTAGAAAGCAATATATTTCTTGCTTCTGCCACAAATTCCCCCATCTATGAGTGTTCCAACCTTTTAAATATTCCTTTATATGTGGTTCAAAGTTCTGGGACCGTCCCCTGAGCCTGCTTAGTCAGGTATTCTGTATTGTTGTTGGCGGAGCTCCTTTACTGTACTTCCATCTGATCCGCCATCTTGTTTGTTCTCTGAACTTACTCTGTCTGCTATAACTCTTAACTAAGAGCAATTACAGCTGTACATGACAAGCCTCTAACTTCCTTTTTAAGACTGAAAGATTTGACAGCTTAGATAGGGGTTTGTTAGTGTGATCTATACTTTGTATTCTACAGAGAATGATTTGATTTAGTGGAAAGGACAGTGGAGTCATTAAGTTAAAGTGGGGTAGCAATCTCTTTCATAGAATCCCTAGTCTTTCCTCTTTTGACTGAACAACTACAGTGACAAAGCAGCACATTCTATCATTTTCTGTAAGTTCTGCTCTTTGTAACATCCCCTCGCAGATCCTCGCTTTCCTTCTGGGATATCACAGAACACATCTGCTGCCTCCCTCATATGAACAGTCTTTCAAATGACCACAGTTGACTTATACTGACCTTTTTTTTTTTTAAATCTTCAAGTATTTCTAAATATGTAGATACCTATGAATACTACTAAATGGTTTCTAAATACTTACCTGGAATGCCCTATTCTAGCACCCTGTAGAGCAGGGTTCAGTAAACTTTTTCTGTAAAGGAGCAGACAGTAAATATTTTCTACTTATATAGGACTATAACATATAGTCCTTTTTTTTCAACTATTCAACTCTGCCATTATATGAAAATTACCATAAACAATGAAAAGGCATGGCTGGACTTGGTCTGAGGGCTGTCTAGACCTGTTCTATGCTGTTTATTGGTGTCCTACACTGGAGCGTTAAACCTCAAGGCTGGAGTAATTCCTTGGAAAACCTATACAGGGTCATTGTGAGTTGGCACCAACTCATTGGCACTTAACAACAATAACAGATGATGACCAGAGACATGAAGTTCATGGTTAAGACCTTATCTTGGGAGACAAACAGTCCTAAATTGAAATTTTGGTTCCACCATTTACTATATGGGTGACCTTGGCAGGCTTCTAAACTTCTCCATGCTTCAGCTTCCTCATCTATGGGATTACAGTTCATTATGGTTCCAACTGTAGAAGGTTGGATATAAAGATGAAATGTATACAAAGTATTTAGTACAGTGCCTGGCACATAGTAAGTGCTCAGTTAATATTAGGGAGCAGCAGTAGCAATATCAACACAAATTGGTTGAAAACAATTCTCTAGATGTGGCTTCTCCCATTCTTATAAAATTTTAAGAATCACTCATTTCCTTTTACTTTTTATGACATGTTATACTATTTGGCTGAGTCCTGGTGTGACACTGTAGGATAAGCACTGGACCACAAGGCCAGTCTGAACCACAAGGTTGGTGGTTCAAATCTACCATCCCTATACAGGCTCGCTATGAGTTGGAACCAGCTCAATGGCACTTAATAACAACACTACTTGGCACGATATTTTCACATGCCATTTCACTATCTTTAAATAACAGTTGCAGGATACTATTCTGTATAAAAATATATATATATGTTGTTGTTAAGTGCTATCAAATCGGTTCTGGCTCATAGTCATCCTGTAAAGGGTTTCCAAGGAGCAGCTGGTGAGTTCGGAATGTTGACCTTACAATTCAAACTGACCTTACAGTCCAGTGCTTATCCTATAGAACCACACCAGGAGTCCAAAACACATACCATAATTAAAAAGTATAATATCTGTTATGAAGTACTTTGCTATATCATATACTAGAGGTCACATCACAGCTTTTGGGCATTTGGTAATGCTTATGGCATCTCTCCCAGCAACACCAAGAGTCTGTAAAAGTGAATGCTATCCTTGCCATTTTATACAAATATTATTTATCAAAAGCTATCAGGACTGGACTGTGAACCACAAGGTCAGTGGTTCAATTCCACCAGCTGTTCCTTGAAAACCCTGTACAGGGTCACTATGAGTTGGAATCAACTCAATGGCACTTAACAACAATAACTTGATGAGGCATAGTAATTCTACTCATCCCTTTTTCTCCCCTTCCATCCGTACAAGTAACTAGTAAAGAGCATAAGAATAAAAACAAACCTGATAAACAGGGAAAGCGAAAAGACCTGAATACCACTCTCTGACCTTGGGGTTGGTGAAATCCAGGTAAGAGGAAAGACCTGTAGAGGTAGAACAGTAGACAACCTGTTAGGAACAGTAGTCTTCATAGTACATATGCCGCAAAGAAGACTATCAGACGTGAGAGCTCCGTAACTAATGGACACCTTACATCAAATGTAAAAGGTAGCTAACACAGAAGCCTAGTTTGGGGAGAAGCCAATGAAGGTGGTGTTGAACTTCAGTGCCAATCATTAGAACTTTAAACACCAGAGGCACAGAGGAATGGCAATGACTGAGCATTAAGATGCAGCACATCCTTCAATAATGACCTAAGATCTCTAAGTGTTGTTGTTTAGGTGCCGTCGAGTCAATACCGACTCATAGTGATCCTGTAAAGGGTATCCGAGGAGCAACTGGTGGGTTCACAGTCCAGTGCTAATGCTACAGTGCCACACCAGAAGTCTAAGATCTCTCAGTAAGAATGGCAAATATCTTGCAATGACCCTATGTTCTTAAAAGAGAACAGAGAAATGTTTTGTAAGGGATGGGATGAGGAGAAAAAAGATGAATGGGGCTTCTCTACAGTGCATGGATTTACGAGAGCGCCTCCCTAGACATTAAAATCAAGCATGAATATGGCTATTTTCTTTTGTCCTTGGCCATTTCCTCCTAAGACTTTAATTATGCTTGAAAGGAAGAAAACCAAAGTTGCCAGAGGCAGCTGAGGCTACTCATGAAAGACTAGGAAGTCAAAACTATGGGCTAAAAGGGCAAAGAGAAATCACAGGAAGAAAGACTACAGAACTCTTCTCTTGTGGTCTTTTTTCCCCCTTCCTCCTCCTCTTTTCTCATTCCCTGCCTTTTAATCCCTATTTGCTTAGAGAAATAGCATGTCACAAAGGCTTCTCCATTTATCATCCATTCAATCAGGTACTGATTGGTAAATGTATATCAAGCACACAGCACCAGGTGCTATGAGACACAAAGGAGGTAATATCATCTGCTAAATGAGCTTAAGACGTAGCTAGAGAGGCAAGAGAATCTAAGGAATAAGTGCTGGCAATGCAGCCACATTAACTAGGACTGAACAGGTAATAAATAATAAAGTGCCATCTTACCAGGCCAGCACACTCCTTCGAAATCTCCCCCTTCAGGACTCCGCACAAAGAAGCCCTGTTCTTTGGCCTTAGCATACAGTGAGTACTTGGGATCAACCTTGATGTGGGGGTCACTGATGACCACTAGCTGTCAGGATATATAAAGGTTTGAAGATCTTGTCAGTTTGTATGGACCATATGTGCATTTTATCTTTTACCATAATTTTGGGCTTCAAATTTTACTCAGAAATTGTTAAATGCTCTCAAGACAGTTTCAACTCGTAGTATACGGTTTCTGAGGAGTAGCTGGTGGGTTTGAACTGCAACCTTGCAGTAGTTAGCAGTCCAGTGCTTATCCTATAGCACCACACCAGGACGTCTATTCAGAAATGACTAGTATTGAAATACTTCAGACAGAAATAAAACACTGCAACTTTCATATGCTAAGGAAAATTTAAATTGACATTAAGATCAAGCCAATGCTCTTTTATAATTATTGCTGCCTAAACAATATATGTTCTTAAGATGGCACTTACCTAAGATCAGAAGCAGCCATTTTAGCATCCTTGAGGAACTCAAATTGTGTTCCTTTTAAATGTTTTTTTGAGTTTGGGGAACAAAAAGAAGTCTGAAGGGCAAGATCAAGGTTGTAGAGTGGATAGGGTTGTTGTTGTTATGTGCCGTGGAGTCGGTTCCGACTCATAGCGACCCTGTACAGGGTTTCCAAGGCTGTAAATCTTTACAGGAGCAGAAAGCCTCATCTTTCTCCCACGGAACAGCTGGTAGTTTTGAACTGCTGACCTTGCGGCTCACAGCCCGATTCGTAACCACTACGCTACCAGAGCTTCTAGGGTGGATAGGGTAAGGCTTCCCAATGGAATTCTTGTCGGACAGCCCTTGCTACCTTTGAAGAATAAGCAGGTGCATTGTTATGATTGGAAAAAAAAAATTCTCGGTGCAACTTTCCTGGTCTTTTCCTCATCAATGCAGTTTTCCATTTTCAGAAAACTTTTTCCTAATAAACCTCTGTGATCGTTCTGTGTCTTTTGAGAGAATCATTAAGATTATCCCTTTGGGATCTCAAAAAACAGTTGCCATACACCTTTTTTTTTTTTTTTTTTGCCATACACCTTTTGAGCTGACCTAAAAGATCCCTTCAGAAGTCACTGCTGTGACTGCACCTTTTGTTTGAAGACACAACTCAGACAAGTGTATTTGTTACTGAGAGAGCTTGTCTATAGTCATTCATTGATCACAGAGACATGTTTAAACACATTTTGTTTGAAAGAAACCACTGCATGTGTACGAACTAGAACCCTAGAAGCACTACTTTTTGATTTACTCACCAATGTCCTTGTTTGTTGTGACGTGCCAACGAGTCAGTTCTGACTCATAGCAACCCAGTACAAGGTTTCCAAGGAGCAGATGGTGAATTTGAGCCATTGATCTCAGGGTTCAAACTGACCTTGTGGTCCTGTGCTTATCCTACAGTGCCATACCAGGACTCCCCATATGTCCTCCTAAGCAGTTATTAACTGAGGACTTGGCACGTTCAAGATGCTGTTGTAGTGCTGAAGAGAACTCAGAGATGACCCCTCAGGGTCTTATAGTGAGTGGGGGAGCAAGCATACAATAAGTACAATACAAGACAGTAAGAGAAGGGCCAAGGTGACCTGGTGTGACACTGCAGAATAAGTACTGAACAACTTACCTCAAGCTGCTCCTTGGAAACCCTATATAGGGTTGCTATGAGTCAGAACTGACTTGATGGAACTTACGATAAGGGCCAAAGGAAGGTGGGAGTGGGGGTCAGAAACAAAAGAAAGAAGCCTGCATCCTGCTGGAAGTCCTGACAAGAGCTTTGTGGCAGAGGTGCATTTTAATATATCCTGATGAGTCTCTGAGGAGTGGGCAGGGGGCAATGTAGCTAGAGGCTGGGGCACTAGGAGTGTTTGGAAAGCAGTCAGTAGCCTAGCTTGATGGAAGAGTCAGGCCTGTGTACATGAGTAGTGGAGAATCTGGGAACTTACTGTAGGCTGCTTTGAATGCATTTGTAGACATTACACATTTCTGAGCAATGGGAACTAAACTCTAATATGTAGAGGGATGAGAATACAGAGGAGGAAGGGTGATTAGAAGCCTGTTTTAGTTAATGAAGTTGTGTTGAGGCCCTGGACCAAGTAGAAACAATGATATTAGAAAGGCAGGGAGCAATATAGAGACCCAGTGTTGTGGAGCACAGCTCTTCCCTAAATGTGTACAGAGTGGAGTCTGGTAGACCCTTACTCTGCCATTTATGCACTCTGTGTCTTTATCAAAATTACTATATTACTCTAAGCCTCAATTTCTTCATCTGAACAATGGGGCTAACATCTCATAGTTTTGTAATGACCAGGTGGAACAATGTGTTTTATCATACTATCTGGCCCATAATAAATGCTTGATGTTAAGTGCTGTTGAATCAGTTCCAATTCATAGTGAGCCTGTATACGGTTTCCAAGGAGCAGCTGGTGGGTTTGGACTTCCAAACCTTGTGGTTAACAGTCTAGTGCTGATCCTGTAGTGCCACACCAGTAGTCTAAGTGTTGGATAAGTGGTAGCTATTGACTGTGACATTAAGCATCAACAGGACTGGGGATCAAAGTAATGGGTTGAAAAGACAACTTTAATCCCAGGGAGAAGAACTACTGGGATTGATTTATCTGGTACATATGGGGTCCCCCCACCGCTTCTCCTGTCTCCCATTTTCTTCTCTTCCTCCCTGTTTTCATCATTACTATCCCATTATCACCCCAGGAAAAGAGAAGCAGTATACACACGTCCCATTTTCTATTTCCCCCTCCCTATTTCCTATCTCGAACTAACTGGACAGCAACTCAACAACAATTTTCTATCTCAGTTCTTTCTTTGGCAAAGTAGACAGGTGGAGTCCATCTGGGAAGCATGAAGGAAAAAATGGTGTAATGAGATAATTAGACTCTGATCTTGATGTCTGATTGCTGAGAGCTTTCAAGTCTCACCCCTTACCCTCTGCCCACATCTGAGCAAACTGACAAGCAAGCCCTGTAGCTCCCTTCTTTGGTCTCAGTGGGAAGGTTGAATCATGGCAGCCCTAACCCACCCTCTAAAACACCCCACTGCTGTCGAGTTGAATCTGACTCATAGTGACCCTACAGCACAGCACAGAACTATCTTTATGGAAGATGATGACCACATCTTCTTCCACAGAGAGGCTGCTGGGATTGAACTCCTGACCTTTCAGTTATCAGCCAGGGATTCCACAACTATGCTGCCAGGACTCTTGGCCTACCACTTTACCACCATGAAAGCTCAGTGAGCCTCCTTTCCTAGCTCTCTCAAGCCATTTTTGGACTGGCTTGGCAGCAGAAACCAAACCACCTAGTTGATTACCTATATAGTGTTTCCGAGACTGTAAATCTTTATCGGAACAGACAGCCTCACCTTTGTGCTGCAGAGTGGCTCGTGGGTTTGCATCTCCAATCTTGCTGTTAGCAGCCCAACACCTAATCACAGTGCTACCAGGTTCCTTAGTTTGGGAGCAAGCTCTGCTCAAATCACACATTCCCTAAAACAAGCCCTGCACCCTGAAAGTCTCATTATCTGAGTAATAAACTTCTTCACACCCTCAGCTCATCATTTTCAACATATAAACCAAATTTTAGATGGGGGAAGCATCCTGTCATTACAAGGTATCCACAAACAAATGGGATTGGAACTGCTCAGCCCTTTATCCTTATGGGAGCTAGACAACTAGGGCAGGGATGGATGGAGTCAGCACCTTTTCCCGATCCTTTTTTTTTTTTTTTTTTTTATCTGTTACAGTAAGTACAGTTTGATTTCAATGCATCATCTTTGTGGCCACTTTCTATAAATGGTTCTCTCCACTAATGTGCCAAGGCAATTTTTAATATTAAAACTTAGTAATTTAGCAGTGCAGATGTTGTTTATTTTACCTTA